CCTGAAGTTCCTCTAATGTTGGGGCATCATCTTCAGCCCATAGGCCACAATGTGTCCAGAAGATTTCTCAGCAAAGCAGGAAATTTCAAACTGTCCATCTGCATTGGCAGTCTGTCAGCCATTTTTCTGTGTCCTGCAGAAAGTCTCGTAGACTCTTCCATGTAGCAGAAACCCTATCGGACTGTTTGAGTTCAGCAGTCACTTTCCTGTAAGTCCTGTATGTCCAGATTATACGACAACAGTCAAGCAGTCCAGGCAAGAGCAGTTTCTTGCCCAAATGTCTAATATTTCCATGTTGAAAGCAAACTCCATAACAAGTTTCTTCAATGCCCATCTTCCTCTCAGACGTAATTGGTGATGCCAGGAGCAGACATTTCTCATTGTCAATAAAAACCCTAAAACATTTTAAATGCCATTTTCTGAAGGTCTTTGAAAGGTTTCAAGACTATCTCAAATATATTTCCGTATATCTAAAAAACTTAACTTACCTTACTATAAGTTCTGACTATTATAAGTAACTATCTTTAGTCTATATTCAATCATGCATTATGTTTATCCCCTACCAGCCGCCTGGGCTCTGCCGCTTTGTAGTCCCCAAATAAACACACAGGAGGCTATATTAATTATGAAGCTGTTGGCCTTTGCTTGTTTCTTACTGGCTAGCTCTGACTTAAGTAATTACCCCATAATTATTAATCTAAGTATGTCTCTTACCGGAGAATAGTTCCGGGGTCCTACCCCATGGTGTTACATCTCGAACTCTCCTGTGTTTCTCCTTCCCAGAATCCTCCTGGACTCCTAGCCCCACCTATCTAGATTCCTATTGGCCAGCAGCAATTTATTGACATATACACAGGACTTACCCAACAGGTTTCTTTTTGGAAATTTGCCTGTCTGCCTGCCTCTGCCTCTGCAGCAAATCCTACCAGCATGTACCACCACAGCCGGCCTCTCTATTTACCACTATGCTGTTTCTTTTTCTCTCTCAATCTTACATATATATTTTAAATACACTGTAAACCTTTAGAGGTTTTTCTTCATCCAAGTCTGACTTTACTGTAAATCTTTATGTTTTTCTGGCCACGTGTCTTATCTGTTAAAACTGAGGCTGTTTAAACTGCAGTTTTTCTAAGATGGCAGGTATAAGCATGATTCCATCTCATTGTCTCAGTCTATGCTGACATCCAGCAAAAGCTGCTGGCTTGGAGATGTGGTCACTGCCACTTCTAGATGTACATACATACCTTTTAATTGTTAGAAGAGCCTCTTAAAAGAACCTTGTTGGTTTTTTTATTTTTAATTTTTTTGCTTATGCTGAGGCAGAAAGACTCCCTTCAGCAAGGCACGTGAGTCTCCGCTTGTCTCTAACAAAACAGAGCCCACCTGAGAAAATGCTGCCACCAAGAACTCATGCTTTTCTCTGTTCTTTTGTTCCTAAAACTCCTTTTAATCTTTTGTCATTCTACATGGAAATTCAATTCCCACTTCCAACACCATTATGTAGAGAGAAGCCTTTCTCTTGCCAGCATCTTTGGTTTTTTCCCCACCAGTCACCTGGGCTCTGCTACGTTGTACTCCCCAAATAACGCACAAGACGCTGGATTAATTATGAAGCTGTTGGCCTTGCTTATTTCTTACTGGCTAGCTCTGACTTAAGTATTTATCCCATAATTGCTAATCTAAGTATTACTCTTACAGGAGAAGTTTCTGGGCTTCTTATCCCTATGGCGGTTACATCTTGACTCCCTGTGTTCCTCCTACCCAGAGTCCTCCTTGACTCCTAGTCCCATCTATCTTGCTTTCCTATTAGCCAATAGTGCTTTATTGACATATACACAGGACTTCCCCATCATAAAATAAATGACAAAGTTATTAAAACATATTAAATACCATATTCTGTAGATCTCTGAAGTGTTTGAAGACAACCTGTCTTACCAAAATACATCTGTGTGTCTTTGATATCATACCTAACACATCTAAAATTTTGATTTGCTTCCTTATTGCTGAGAATCAAGAGTTACTGGATGTTTTCAATGACATTCCTTTATAACACATGTGTCTTCTAAGTATTGTCTATCATTATGTACTTTTTCTTTGGATAGCTGTATCTTTTCAATATATTTTAATGACATTTTTATAACTATGTAGATTAGTACATAGTAGACCCAAGAAAAGAAATGACCTAATATTTATTGTTTGATTGGCAATTGTACACAATCACTAATATTTTAACACACTAGAACAGTGTATATATTGGCATAAATTTTTAAAATATCAAGTTTATGTATTTCTATATTAATGATGAAAATGCTTATGAAAATTCCTTCATTCAACATTTAGCAATCTGTATCTCATATAGCATTTGGATTATAGCACATCAAACATCAAACGAAATTCATTAGTAGTCATTCTTGGATTCCTATGATATTTCCATGAAATAAATCACAATTAATTATCACCTGTTATCTTAACATGAACATGTGTATAAAATATTATAGTAGTGAAATAGGTTAAATTTCCAAGAAAAAAATTTTCAAATATTTTATCCAAAAATATAAGTACTTTTAGAACTGTTACTCTTCTCTGATTCATTGTATTCACTTTACAAACTTATACATATTTTTCTTAATGAATATCACTTCATCATATCTATTTCTGATTCATTTTTGTCTAGAGATCAATTGTTCAAATGATCCCCTTTATTACTTTGAAAAACATTAAAATCACCTGGGTACTTACACAGAGAATCAGCATGTTCTCTCCCTGGGGATCCTATGTACTTTAAGAAGAACCCCAGGGCCTGGTGTGAGAAGGAGACAGAAAGATGTTCACAGCCTGCCTTCTCTGATTGAAAATTCATTTCCAATTGTAAGAGGAAATCTACTTTGTGAAACAAAAATTCTAGTTTTAGGTTTTATACTAAAGCATATGCCTTAATATGTTACTGTAGGGTGAAATGTGGCTCAGCACAATATCATTTGACAAATATAACATTTGTTTCCCAAAGAGCATAATGTTTACATAGGTCAAGTGAGTTATTAATTCAGAAGTTTTACTGATTTGGTTAAAAAATATGGTTAAAAGCAGTAAAATTATGGCAGTGTTCTACAATGTGAAGCAATATAAAATATGTGCCAACCATTAATCTAGTTTATGTAAGTTTTTTTGAAGTTAAAAGATTTTAATTTTAGATTTACTACTTCACTTTAAGACATTGATGTAACATTCAATTCACTTTATTTTATTTTTAAATTTTGTGTCCTACTTAAGCTTAATTACTTTGTAAAAGAAGCAAAATATACTAAAACTTGATTTTCTGTTGTCTGGGAGATAATGATTTCTGAATTTTGTCGTAGCACAGAGTTACTTGGAAATAGTATTTTATTATGGACACATAGAAACCTTGCCAAAACTCCTATAATGATTTTATCATATTAGTTGTCTACCTTGGTCCCACTTTTTTTTAATCTGTGCTGAATGATGTGTTTTACAGACTGTTCTAGAGATCTTGAAACACAGTACACACACAATATGGCACTTCATCTAACAAACTAGTGAGGTGTTTGATGTTATCTGTGTATCCTTCTTTGTTACCTCTACATGTCGATATTATTAAACAATGAGTTTTGACAGACAGTTGAGGAACTGACTTCACTTTTGTGTTAGACAATTATTTACCCTTGTAGTATCTCTCTAGGGATATCAGGTAGATGTAACCAAAATATATTCCAGTTGCTTAAACCAACAGTTTTCATGATTGTACATTAAACATGGTCAATAAACTATAGAGTGAACACCCTTCAATTGGCCCAAGTGTGGTATATGTTAATTTTTTTCTTTGAGCAACAACTTCTGTAATAACTCTATTATGCAAAATTTAACTTTGAGGGTTTATCTGTTGTGTAAAAATTCTTAGTCATTCAGAGAAAGACCATTAATTATTTCTGAAACTAATGTACCTCATAACATACCCAGTTTACATCATATCAGACATTTTAATTGAAATTTCTGTTAATTAGACCTTAAGATTAGGAAAAAACAATGGCATGGATTTGGTTCAGAATGTTGAGTCCTTGCTTAACAAATATAAAACCCTAGTTTCAGACATAGCAGCACATAAAATCAGACATGGTACCACATGCTTGTAATTCTGCTACATCAGAGGTGGAAATAGGAGAATGGGGCATTTAATGTCATTCTTGACTACATACTGAATTCAAGTCTCATTAGGTCTACATGAGGACTTTACTCAGTAAAATAAAATGAAATGATAAAATTATAGAATGTAAAGAAGAAAACACCAAAATGCACATAGGTGTATTTTAAAATACTTGTTAAGTAAAATAGAGCAGATGCTGAAAAAAATCAGAATAAATTATAACATTGAATCTGTTTTTATTTTAAAGTGAGGTACACCTAATATCCAGAAGTATTTATGATCTATTATGCATCATTCATTTTACCTTATGTTCTAATAGAAAGAAATAATTATCAAAGGAAAGGATTTGAAATGCTTTGTTTAAAAACGTGGGTGGAATAAGTTTGAAATATAATGCATCTCATTTTCAACAGTTTTGTTAATATTAACTAAAAGATGCTTACATTCTCTTAAGCAGATTCAATTCAGTCCCATTGATCCTAATGTTAACATCAAGTCATTAAGTCATGTCATTTTTTGAATCTTGTGTGAATTTAAAGCTGTCAGTCTTCTGAATTTGAATGCAATGTAATACAGCAAAGAAATCTGGAAAAAATTAATTAAGAATACTAAGTATTGTATTTGATGATTAGGAACCTGAACTTAGTCAAAATATAAAAATAATTTCTCTAATTTATTTTAACAGACTAATGAATCTCTTGAGACTGAACTCCTTCATTGCATTTGATTCACCAAGAACAACATCTCTGATTCCCTATACAATACACAAACATGAGCATATGAGTGAATAGACACAGTTTTTGCAGGATTTTGCCTTTGTAACCCTAATAACCAAACAGAAATGTCAAGTGTTCTATCTGATAGTTATTTTCAGGCAAGCAACATGACTGAGATCACAGAGTTTATACTAACAGGTTTCACAAACAATAAGAACCTGAAAGTCTTATTATTTCTATTATTTCTCACAATTTACATTTTTACTTTGATAGGTAACTTGGGATTAGTTTTGTTGGTAATTGGGGATTCCAGGCTCCATAATCCCATGTATTATTTTCTATGTGCTTTATCATTATTAGATGCTTGTTATTCCACAGTTGTCACACCAAAGATGCTGGTCAATTTCCTTTCTAGCGATAAATCCATCTCATATCCTGGATGTGTAACACAGATGTTCCTTTTTGTTGCTTTTGGGAACACAGAATGTTTTCTCTTGGCAGCAATGGCATATGACCGCTATGTAGCCATCTACAACCCACTTCTGTATGCAGTGAGCATGTCACCCAGAGTTTACCTGCCACTCATTATTGTGTCTTATGTTGGAGGCGTTATAAATGGTTCTGTCCACACAGCAGCCACTTTCAGTCTGTCCTTTTGTAGATCCAATGAAATTAGGCATGTCTTCTGTGATGTTCCTCCTCTCCTAGCTATTTCTTGTTCTGACACCCACATCAATCAGCTTCTTCTCTTCTACTATGTGGGCACTGTTGAGCTCATCACTATCCTGATCGTCCTCATTTCCTATGGTTTCATTCTCTTTTCCATTCTGAAGATGCATTCTGCTGAAGGGAGGAGCAAAGTGTTTTCTACATGCGGAGCTCACCTCACTGGAGTGTCTATCTATCATGGAACCATCATCTTCATGTACGTGAGACCTAGTTCCAACTATGCTTTGGAGCATGACATGATAATTTCGACATTTTATACCATTATTATTCCCATGCTCAATCCCATCATCTACAGTCTGAGGAACAAAGATGTAAAAGGTGCAATGAAAAAGGTCTTTGACAAAAATTGGTTTATGAAAAGTTTCATTTTCAATATTGAACTATGCTAAAAATAAAGCTTATTGTAAGTCAATATGTCTATAATCACAAAATAGAGAAAAATGCTCCTGATTTTAGTTAATAATACTGACACTTATATGAAAATGCATTTCAACAAAACAGAAATAGACTATCTGATACTAAATGTTAAAATTGTAAGTATACAATGCCATTACTATAAGTATAAACATAATGAAACAGATTTTTTACATGTATATATGTTGAATATTTGAATGTATCTATGTATAGAGATATAGATATAGATATAGTTTTACTGCTTGGTTTTCAGTTGTGATTGTGTGTACAATATCCCATATTGTGGAATATCATAATATTCAATCATTGCAATAAAATTTTTCTTTTACTTTTTTATAATTCTTAATTCTTCCATCCTCCATTTTTGTTACTAATTCACAATTTACCATACAAAATCAGATAAAAGCAACTGTCAATGTTTTATCCATATTTGTCTCAAGTCATAGATGTTTCTCTCTTTACAAAAGTGATTCATTTGTACTATTTAGTTACTTGAATGGAATGCATTCAACTTAAACTCTGAAAATACCCCAATATGCCTGGAGTTCCCATGATTAAGTCTAATGGTCATCAAAAGAAATTTGTGCACTAGGGAGAATAGCCCCCCAAAGCAAAATCTGCTACTTTTGTTACTTTAATTCTATAGTATACTTTTAGATCAGAATATTAATTTCTCCTGCACTGTTCTTTTTCTCAGGATTGGTTTGGTTGTCTGGAGACATTTCTGTTTATGAATTCTAGAAACAGTTTCATGTTTCTATAAAAATGGCAAGAATGTTTTGATTTTTTGCTCTGAATCTTTAAACTGACAAAATAGTTTTTTATAATAATTGTCAGTATCTGAGTACATAACATCATTCCATTTTCTAATGTCTTCTTGTATTTTTTCTTCAGAATTTTAAAGTTTTCTAATTATCGGTGTTTATAACACTTTTATAGGTTTAAGATGTTTGGAGACTATTATGAATGACATTGTGTCCCTGATTTCTTCTTCCGTATGCATGTCATAGATTTATAGAAATGACAATTGTTTTAATTTGTAATTTCCTTGTTGCTTTGTTGAAATTGATCATCAATTCCAGAAGTTTTATAGTGGAACATTTAGAATATCTTAGGCCAATCATCCAGTCATCTGAAAACACAATTTTTAAATTTTTTTCCTATTCAGAACATTTTTAAAAATTTTTTTCCCTGTCTATCACTAAGAATTGGAGCACTGCATTAAACAGACATGAGTATTGAGGAAATCACAGACTTGTTCCTGATTATAGTTGGGTGATATTTGCTATGCATGTGTCATGTATAACCTTTATTATGGTGAGGCATGTTTGATGGTTTTGTTCTAAAACTTTCATATAAAAGAATGCTGGGCTCATCCAAAGCCTTTTTTGCATATATTGAGATCACCATGTCATTTCTATTTTTAAGCCTACCTAAGCAATGTGTTTCATTTATCAATTTGTGTAATTTTAATAACCCCTTCATTTCTGCCATAAAGATAAGATGATCAGGATGAATAATTTTTGGCACTTTAACTTGATTTTTTCTTACTTCTTTGAGGGTTAGTACATGCATATAACTCCACACCATTCCTGAAACTTCTTTAGATCCACACCAACCTCTCTCATCTTCTTGTTCAATTTTTGTGTTGACCATATATATATCCATGGTTGTGATGCTACCAATGATGTCTGTGGCTCTTCCAAGAGCCACAAGCTTAAAGAAAACTGATTCTGCCCTTATAAAAAGCCATCAACTGTCAATCAACTCTCAAATAAGACTGGGACCTGTAAGTCCCTCCCCGTTTTAGACAGATCTTTTGAAGGCAAACACATCTACAGTGAATTTGTAAGTACAGAAGTCCTGTTATGTCCTAATGATAGCATTTTGCTCTAGTTTTCCTCTATACCTGGGTTATACAAAGTTTTTTAGTGCATTTCTATTCCTGAGTATTGAGGAAAGTGGGTATGGTATGAAAGTCCCATTTGTAGCTAAGCACTCAAGAAATACATCTCTACATGAATCCACTAAACTAAGAAACTTATCTGATGAGGTCCGAGAGTTGTACCAATTAAAAGATGCAGGGATATGGATTCAATGACAATTTGATACTCCTTCCCTTTACCAAAATAATAATTGGTTAACTCCTGGGCCTGTAAATTTTACAAACAACATCATTTAAGGATGGAAAAAACAGTCACACGAAAAGCCATTGTTATAGAAGCTTTACACACAAATGTATGTGATAAGCAAATATATTCATACGAAGAGTTGGAGTGACCTTAGAGACTCTGGGAGGGGATGATAATCCTCCCAGTAACCATAGATTGTCAAATACAAAGCCAATTGGATGTTGTGAAAAGGTTCCCCTAGATTTTTATTGTTACTATTGTTACTATGTCTCATATACATGCTTTTCTCTTCTCTCTCTCTCTCTCTGTCTCTCTCTGTCTCTCTCTCTCTCTCTCACACACACACACACACACATATCACGTCAATAGTGACATCCATTAACCATATAGCTTGGTGTCAACTTGACACAATCTTGAGTCACTTGGGAAGACAGCCTCAGTGGGGCCTCAGCCACATTGGGCTGGCCTGTGTGCACCTGTGGATGATTATCTTAATTGAGTTTCTTGATGTGGGAAGACCCAGCCTCCTGTGGTCTGCACCATTCTCTGGACAGAACCTTGAAGGGTTTGGGGATGGGAAAATAGAACTGAGCCCGAGAAAGCAAGGAAGCATGCATGCATTCATGTCCTTTGCTCTTGAATTTGATGTGATGAGCCAATATATGACCAGCTTCTTCAATCTCTTACCACTGTGACTTCCCTGCTACAATGTGCTGTAGCCTAGAACTGTGAGCTGAAACAAGCCACATTCTCGCTTTTAAGTTGCTTAGCCCAGAAAACCCAATGTTGCCAAGTATTGTTTTTCTACTTGGTTCTTCACAAGAACTTGGTGGTCCCAGCCAATTACTGCAAACATTTTGCCCATAAGACATAAAATATTAAATTGATATGGTCAGGAAGTTTCCTTTCATTTTCCTATCTTGCTACTAGAAGGGGGTATGCAGGTTGCTGTTGGAAAAGATTTCTTCAACAATATTACCCAAGTGTGAACCCTGGGAGCTACAATAAAAAAGAATGTGAAAACATGCCCACGAAAGCAATGAAGGCATGTTCTTGAATAGCCAACTACATTTTTAATTGTGAAGCCTGTTCCAGGGGAAATGAATGTCTGCTCCTACAATGGATGATATTTCTGATATGCACCTACTGGTTTGCAAGTATTTTCTTCAGATTTTCTTAAATCTTTGTTTATGTAGTACTTTGGTCAGTATTTGCTTTGCTTCCAAGCATCTATTGGGTATTATTTTATGAGTAATACAGGTTTTGTAGAAAGAGTTTGAACATGTAGCTTTTTAAATTTATAGAATAATATGAGAAACATTGGTTATTCGGTTATAACTCTTCTTATATATATATATATATATACATATATATTATATTATGTAATGTGCAGTCCAACTGCTCTGACATCATCTTCATCAGTGAAGTTTTAGTCATGAGATTTATTTTACTTTTTATTTTATTTTATCTGTAGGGTGTTTTGCATGCATGCGTGTCTGTGTAGCATGTGGCTGCAGTACAGATAAAGGTAAAAAAAAAAGGCCACTGTATCCTGTGGTACTAGAGTTACAGGTGGTTGTGAGCTGACAATTGGATAGAGGGCATCAAACCTCCAAACGTGGGAGCCCACAGTGAGTCTGTTTCCATCTTGTCTAAAAGTCAGAGAGATCGAACCTATTGTTATTCCTCAAGATCCAATAATAGGATGGTTGATTTAGGGTGTGATTACTAGATGTTTTGAGAATTAAGGATGTAAGTATGCTTTTTTTGTCCCCTGTATCATGATAAGGAAGGCTTTTGCTCTTCCTTTTTGCTTGGGGTATGAGTAGTAAACTCGGGGTGGTTTGCAGTATTCACTGAGAGCCCTCCTGACTCCATCTTTTGTCTTTTGTCTCTGCTTTCTCAATCCGCACACCCCTTTTCAGGCATATTTGGATGGGTCAGCTGATCCTAAAATCGGCACCCTTTTGTGGGACCTGAAAATTGGGGGCTTCGTAAAAGACACCTCAGGTGAATGGAATGCTCAGATAATAGTAAAATGGAAGTGTGGTGAGTAAATTGTAGGTAAGGGTGAAGGTTTTTTATTTATTTTAATTTAAATTAGAAACAAGTCTGCTTCATATGTCAATCCCAACTCCCTCTCCCTTCTCTTCTCCATCAGCCCCCCATCCCATCTTCCCTCTGCTTCCCAGGGAAAATGAAGCACTCCACGGGGAATCCCCAGAGTATGTCATATCATCCTGGGCAGGGCCCAGGCCTTCTGCCATGTGTCCAGACCAAGAGCACATCCCTCCTCGTGTAATACTTTCCCAAAGTTCATTCCTGAGCCAGGGATAAATAGTGATCCACTATCAGAGGCCCCATATTGACAAGGCCTCCTCACTGACATCCACAATCCAGGTGTCTGGATCAGTCCCATGCTGGCCTCTTAGCTTGTAAAAGAAGCAGGCCTGTCCTTGTCTCTTAAGAACTTGGCCCAGTGCCTCTGTGCATGCTGCCTCTGTAGGAAGGCATGGTGATCTTTTTAAGAGAAAAACTCCACTGGCATCTTTTTCTGTCCTCTCTCCAAGGAGGCAGTTCTCTGTCTCTGTCTCTGTCTCTGTCTCTGTCTCTGTCTCTGTCTCTGTCTCTGTCTCTCCCTGTCTTTCTCTGTGTTTCTCTCTCTTTATCTGTCTCTGTCACTTTGTTTCTGTTTCTGACTCTCCCTTTCTCTGATAAACCTTGCATCAATAAACTGAAGAGTTGGAAATATTTAGTAGAATCACTTTCACAGAAATCGGAGACTTTGCAAGTCCCCCCTCCTCAGAGAGCTACTCCTCTTCCTACTATAGTGGCTGGATTAG